CGGCGCTCCCGCCCCACCGGGCCCGGCACCCCCCTCCCCGCCCCGGGAGGGCGGACCAGCGCCGAGCGCCTGGCGCGCGTGTGTCCGCGCAGTGGGATGCGGGTGGGAGCGCGACAACCACGCCTGTAGATGAAGGTGCGGCTGCCTGTGTGGGGGCAGCTCGCGGGAGCCCGCGCCTCCTCCTGATGTTTGGGGGTGTTTTGATTGTGGTTAAGCTCCTGTAAGTGAGGGCACGTGTGTGTGTGTGTGTGTGTGTGTGTGTGTGTGTGAAGTGGGATGAGTCGCATGTGTTTGTGTGTGCATGGGGTTTGTAGTTGCTTTGGGGGGGGGAGCAGCATTCCAATTTGTGTACTGTGCATTTGTCACACTCAGCTGTCATCGTGAATTAATATCCTCCAAAGATATATATGCATGTGAGAGAAATCTGCCGCAGCCTAGATATAATTGTGCAGAATGTTCTTTTACACCTACCCTTTTCGAAGCACTTGTGTTTGCATTTCTTTGAAGAAGACACGGAGGGAGGGGAGCGCAGTTTGAAAAACCGCACAGGATAAATCGGTTGGGTTATTTGCAATGATGAAGAGGAGGTATTATATCCGTCACTGCAGGGGCATGGGGTATTTCTTCTCACATTAAAGCCGCCTCCCTCTAATGTCTTATTTATTCTTCACAACCGTAGAAATTCTTCAACCTGGATCTGTGTACCCGTGGGGCAGACCGCTCAGTCTGTGTGTACGATTTAAGAAAGTAAATAGAAGTTTTCAAGGAGGATTATGGTAAGTAAAACACTGTTCTAAACTTAGGAAGAAGGTGTGACCTACAAAACCAGACGCAGACATCAGCCGATCCACTTTCCAACTACAACACTGCCTCGTTGAATTCATTTTAGATGACTCTTCTAAATTTTAAGACCTCTTTTTTTCACTATTTTCTGAATGGAAGTGACTGAATGGGTTTGCCTTTCTCTTTCTATGTTAGCTAATATCAAGGGTAGTGGCCCATAAAGAATTTGGGATTTGACAATGGGCAATTTGAATCAGTCAGTATCGCCTTTCCTGAGAGCAGAGATTTGTCTCAACATTGCCCTCAAAATGCCCATTGGAGACCCTTCTTCCAGGTTTCTAGACAGGGGTGTTAGGTTGGCCTATTGAAACTATTCTGCAGATTAATTATGTGATTCCTTTAGGCTGAGAGGCCTTTGTATAGCTAGTGAATACCAGAGGTTCTCATTAGGTTTTTGATAATCAGATAATGAATATGAGGATAGGTGTCAGGAATGTTACTGGGAAAAGTAGACTTTTCTACATCCAGTAGGGATGGAAACTGGCCTTGATTGTTTCTCATGACTGGAGGTGGCCTTTCCTGCTTATCTGTCTGAAAAAAATCTCAGTTTACACCAAGCCAGATCACCAAAGAGAATTAGAAACCCTCATCCACGGTACTGCCTGCAGAGTCGCCAGGAATAGTGCTTACCCTAGTGGCCTGAAATAATTAGGTATCTCGCTTAGCATCTTGTCCTGGACAGGGGTATTGATTTAGGCCACTGGGAAAACAAGGGCCCAGGGCTTTACAGCTGAGCCATAATTTCAGTTCTTGGTGATGGGATTCATTAGAATCAGGAGCTAGCATAGAAGACACATTTCCATCTCTTCTGTTTGATAGGACAGACAGTGTGATTGTTTCAGCTAACATTTCTTTTAAGAAAGATTAAACTTCTGTCTTTTTGCTTTTTGTTTGTTGTTTGTTTGGGTGGTTGGATGCTTTATGTGCTGGAACATATATGTTCTTTTAAGGGCTACATTTTGAAACACTTACTTATTTTTTTTTTAATTGATCTCTTTTCCTAACTAGTTCTCACACCAATGAGGGCTTTTCCAGACTACTGCACAGAGCAAGTTTTGGCTTCCACAGTAGTTGTCTAGTCCATTTATGGAGGAAGGGCAAAGGACAGCATTGCACACATGCCTGGGTAGAATATGGAGATTGGGTAAGATGACAGACATGGACCTTTATTTCTTAATCATCTGGCTAGCCCAGAGATTTCTTCCTTTGAAATAAATCCTAGGTAAAAGTGAGAAACTTCCACCAGATAGGTACTATTAAATAATCCTAATCTGACTGTGTTATTGATCATGTGTGTGTGTGTGTGTGTGTGTATGTTTGTGTGTGTGTGTGTGTGTGTGTGTAAGAAAGTTACTATTGAAGTTTTGGTATCTTATTGAGCAGTTTTTCAGAAGAATAACTGTATAGGCCAGGCTTCCATTTACCTAATGCCATCACAGTGGGGATATCCTGCCATATAGACAGATGTATTCAGTAAAATAAGTGTTGAGATTTAATGTCTATGGTTGGAAAAGACAGGGAAGAGGATCAGAAAGAGAAAGGGGTGTTGGGAATGATAGCACAGCAGATAGCAGGCAGTGGAATAATGTTGCTGCTTCATAGTCAGAGTTAGTAATGTCCTTATTTTCCCTCTCATGTTGAACCTTTGCCCTGGATAAGGGGGAATTGAAGTTAGCTTTAAGAAGGGATTAGTAAGAAGAGAATGTGAATGCTGGTGTGACAGGTGGGATGGGGGAGGCCTTTAAAGTCCAGGGGCCAACAACCTCCCTAGCAGCTTGTTTTCCTACATGCTCAAAGCCCAGCTATTATATGTTTCCATTCTAAAAACTTCGGTGATAAATGGTAAGCCACTTTGAGTGTGAATATGGTTAGTTAACAACAAACTGATAAGGAGTTTTTGCTTCAAATTTAATCATGCTGTTATTTTCCATGAGAATGATGTATTTAAAATTATTGATCTAATTTATTTCTAGAACTTGTCATTTATTAGAATTTGTTAATGAAAAAAATTTAATAAAAATGACAAAAAGGGGGCTGGGAATGTGGTTTAGTGGTAAGTGCTTACCTAGCATCCATGAAGCCTTGGGTTCGATTCCTTAGTGCCATATACACAGAAAAAAACAGAAGTGGTGCTGTGGCTCAAGTGGTAGAGCCCTAGCCTTGAGCAAAAGATGCTCAAGAACAGCATCCAGTCCCTGAGTCCAAGCCCCAGGACTGGCAAAAAAAAAAAAAAGACAAAAAGCCTAATCTGTAGGTATTCATTTTTCTAAAGGACATGAGTTAAATTGTGTTTTTAAAAAGCACATACAATTAAAGTCACTTGATGTATTATTCAAATTAAGTATCATCACCAAGGAAGTGTGCTGTAGCTGAAGTGGTAGAGCTAGCCTTGAGCTGAAGAGCTGAGGGACAGAGCTCAGGCCCAGAGTTCAAGCCCCATGACCGACCAAAAAAAAAAGTATCATCACCAAAATAATTTATTTGTAGTAATTCAAATATCCATAAACATTTATTTATTTAAATAAATTAAAAATGAGAAATATATCATAAGCTTTATGGGCAGTATGAAATTAGAAGAAGGGAATTCTGAAATTAATGAGCTTCAAATCATTTTTGTTTTTGTTTTTATACCAGTATTGGGGCTTGAACTCAAGGCCTCACTCTCTTGCTTGGCTTCTGTGCTTAAGGCTGGTGTTCTAACACTTGAGCTACACCTACACTTCTGGCCTTTTGCTGTTTCATTGGAGTTAGGATTTATCTGCCTGAGTTGGATTGTTTAAGATCTTTAGATCTTATCATCCTGAGTAGGAGGATTACTAGTGTGAGCCCTCAGCTTCCAGCCTAGAGCTTCGAATCTTTTAAGGCAATTATTGTGTACTAGGTACCATGCTTAGTTCTTTATAACTGAATCTCAATGATAAGATTCACTTAAACTTCATCATAACTGTACTGGATTAACACAAGTATTACACCATTTTGAAGAAAGAAAAAGTAAGTTAGGATATTTTGGTGACCAGGATTATGCCAGAAGAAATAAATAGGTGAATTAGTGTTGGGATCCACAGCTAGGTGACCTGAGGGGCTGTTCTGTATTACTGTCTGTTATGGGTCAAGAATGTGAGCGCTCAAATTGAGGATAAAACAGTTGGGTGAGAATTCAGAAGGGTGATAAAAATGACTTTTGTTTCTTGTTTTCAGAAAAACTCTCCGAGCAAATGGTAATGCGACTTTCTAAAATTTACAAACCAAAATGAAAGAAAAAGAGTAAATTACAGAATCTAGGGAAGATATTTTCTTTTAGGGTAGTCTTGAAATTGGCACTAAGATTGGGGGTGTAACAATGGTAGCATGAGGCTCTAGGCTTGATCCCTAGGACTGTAAGCAAACAAATAAAACCCAGAAATATCCACTAGGGGAAATGTTCAGTAGGTGATTGGTGATAAAGGTAAAAAATAACAACAACAACAAAACTAGTGGGGCGCCATTGGCTCATGCCTGTAATCCTACCTACTCAGGAGACTGAGATCTGAGGATGATGGTTAAAGCCAGCCCAGGCAGGAAAGTCTGTGAGACTCTTATCTCCAATAAACCACCAGAAAACCCAGAAAAGCCACTGTGGCTCGAGTGGTAGAGTGCTAGCCTTGAGCTGAAGAGCTCAGGGACAGCACCCAGGCCCAGAGTTCAAGCCCCATGACTAAAAAAATCAAAAAAACAAACAACAAAAGTAAATGTAGTCCAAAAAAATTGTTTCTGTTAGTTTTCCTTCTCAGTAGTGTCTCCTTTTGACTTGAACAGACACTGGTGGCCTATTATTATCATCTCTAGTTCACTCGCCTATGTCTTCCAGGATAGGTAATTCATCTACCCCTCTCCTGTCCCCTTTCC